TGGGCGTAGCATAATTTCCATAACATTTACGTACTTCCACATTATTGCACATTGTGTGGGCTTCAATTGTAATGTGCGGGTCATATATTTCCCTGAAGCACAAACAAGCTACTTATTCAATGGCTTTTATGCTAAGAACACACCCAACATACAACAATGAACTATCATAAACTGGTATTGACAAACAAAACGCTGCTTGTATCATCATAGTTGATACCATGTTTTAGTCATTCAAATGTTCAAATACTATTATTCATAATGAACATATCATACAAAAATTTATCATTTCACTCTTACAACAAAACAATAGAGAGGCTTACCATATTGACTTGAGAATGACATGAGGTGACAGGTATTGTAACACATGGCGAGGGTATTGGACATTATTGTAACAATTAAACCTCACAGTCTGACGTAGGCTGCTTACGATTCACATGACATCAAAATAATATTTGTCTCTTTCATATGTGCCTGCTAAATGTTAGGTTCTTTACATTACCAAGATACTTGTTAACTTTTCCAGAGTATTTTCACCCAAGCTTAATAAATTTTATAATTATAATTAACAAACCAATGCAGATAATTTACAAATATGTCAATTCATCACTGCATGGCAAACATGAGGCAAACAATTTTCACTGTGACTACCAAATAAAATATTGAAGTCCTTATCAGTTCCAGATGAATTCTGTGTTTCCGTGACCACAGAAAGATTTGCAGAAAATGTTACTTACCAAATACATACCAGTAGCATCATTACTGTTATCTATCATTAAATGTTTTATGCAGCATGATCCATGATTGATATTATGACCAATGACAACACTGTCAGGATAAGATGACACAAAATGTCACTGAACCTGACCACCTCATTCATGTAATCATCTTGTCCGATAAGCATAGGTTGCTGGGGACCTATGCTAATCCAGAATCCTCACCAGGCTCAAGGTCACTGAAACATGCCACAGTACTATGGACAAATTCCAAACTTATATTTGACAGATTTCAACCTTAGACAGAGAAGACAGAAATAATTATTGTTATTTTCTTTGTTCAGTTTTTAACTCCTCTGACACTGCTTGTTCATCACAACCAACAAAGGTGAGGTGAAATGGGGTTTAACGTCGCGTCCAAGACTATTGCACTTATATAGCGACGTGCATGTACGTGTGTGTGTTTGTGTGGCTGCTTGTACTAGTCCGGACTGATGCCGATTTATAGTGCTAGCTCACTGAGATACCATGCCACAGTTTAACATGAATACCCCACTCAGACACATTATACTGACTCCGAGCCGACCAGTCCTTGTTTTAGCCCCTTAATGCCGAGCGCCAGACAGGGTGACAACAAGTACCATCTTTTAACATCTTTTGGTATGACGCGGACCTTCCGCTCTCCGGGCTCTAACGGAGGCGGTCCACAACCAACAAAACACCTAGTTACAATACAATGTTTTCTATAGTAAGGCCACTGTATGATACATGATCCAGTGCACTAAGAACTACACGTTTTCTTCTGAAGCTGCAAATGAAGGCTTTTACCAAGGCGTTCTCAGATATTTGGCTAAAAGTCGACAGCAAATGTCAAAATGCCAGTAATCATAATAATACTTAATATTTTAGATTTGCAAAGGTTACTTGTGTTTTACCGATATCAGGACACAAAACTAACAAGAATTTTATACTTTGCATTGAAGTGAATGTCTTGCTAAAGCATATCCAAAATTAATATAAACATTTTCTTTACAATTTGCCTGTCATTTAGATTATTAACCTATATAAAATCTCTGTAATGATATCGCTACAGACATTGGAGAATTGTATTCATTTTTAATTGTAATTTCTGTGTGTTTGTGTGTGTTGGGAGAAGGGTGGAAGGAAGTCCAATTCTCCTGCATTTTGGACCCTCCCTTTTGTTTTAAATGTGGCTCTTATCACGCCTGTGTATACTGTAAATCTGGAAAGATTTGTGAGCAGGAAAGTACTGTGAAAACTGCGAGTGACACAGTCTCACAATAGTTTCATGATGCTGTTATTTTGGCAGACCAACGACAAACAAACAATAATTAAGGAGGCATATTTCTTTTATTTACTTCCCCACATTGTCAAACCAGTCATACATGATAACATGAATAAATTCTCTCTCACACCCTGTTACCTTAAATACGCATGGTCACTGAGTGTCAGTAGTCTAATCAGTAGGGCTGCAACGAATACACTATTAGGCGAATATGATTCGTATCACGAATATACCAAATATTATTTCATGAATACAATAACAAGACAGCAGTTGATGTATTATTTGTTATATTCAATGAAAAATAACAACATAAATTATTCGTCATGGTTGGTTTATTATTAATATATTATACATTCACATACTGCACTTATCCAGGTACTAGTATCTGCTCAAATACGACAATGATCAGTGACCACAATACTGTCAAATTAAATATATGAGTGTAAAGAATGTAATATGTTCTTATGGATATTTTTAGGTACAGAGTATGTAAATGCACATGACTGCATATTCGTAAATATTCGATTCTAGTGACCACGAATAATGAATTCAATTCATGAATGGATACAGTTTGATTCACCGAATACGCAAGTGAATCTTAACCATTAACAGCCCTGCTAATCAGGAAAGTTAACAAATCTGCAAACATCTTGACAAGTTGCGTACATGTCACTGAGTAGTCAAGACAGATGCAAGCCAGTCTATGCTGTAAGATAAACAAACTACTCCAATCCTCCTAGTCCATTACAACAAGGCATGTATCTATTTTCTAAAAATCACTGACTGACACCGAGTTACCATTTCATCACACCGCATCCACTTTTAAAGATAGCATGTGCACAGTAGCTTTAATCTTTGGTAATCTCATCAACAGGGTGTAGCAAAATAATCCAGACAGTAACAGTTATTGTAAGCCATTCACAATAATTTAAAAGTGCACAACTTTCCAGATTTACAGTATACCTATCATACATTGTGTCCCATCATACGGTATTCGCAATCGTAGCAATATTGTCAGTTCAGTCAGTCACTATGGGCACAGTAATCTTCATCTATGGTGGTGATCTAAAACTTCATAATTAATACTTGTTGGGAACATTTATTTACTTTTATGGGTGAACTCGGACTATGCAATACAAATATGGTCTCATGAAACATCCAACCATCAAAGTGAATATTATGAGTTGTAGGAACACACCTTCACCAATAAATAACTTCATTTATCACCCCACCGTTTAATAACATGTTTTGCAATATACCATATTGCCTGACAGGTCCACAAAAAGAACGTGGCAACATTGTAGTTTACTGGGAACAGCTTACTCTAGAGCTAATTGGCTCAGACTGCCAGCTGTGTCGCTTGCTTCACAGGTTCTGTGTGCCTCTTAGATCCTTAGGGTTAGTTCTGAAAGGGTTAGGGTAGGCTACCCCTAACTTATCCTTAGCCTTGGATACCCTTTCCCCATCAAGCACCCCTTTCTGATCATTTGGATTGGGCACCACTTGCCAATCAAGCACCCCTTTCTGATCATTTGGATTGGGCACCACTTGCCAATCAAGCACCCCTTTCTGATCATTTGGATTGGGCACCACTTGCCAATCAAGCACCCCTTTACAATCATTGGCTCGCTGACTTGGTTGATGCATGTCATCATATCCCAATTGCGTGGATCGACCGCCGTCATATAGCTGGAATATTGTTGAGTGTGGCGGTAAACAACAAACAAACAAATAAATAAACAATACTTTGGGGTGGTTGTGAGTGGGGAAAAGGAGTAGACCTGTATCTCATTTAAGGAAAGGGGCGGTCGGGTAGCCTAGTGGTTAAAGCGTTCACTCGTCAGGCCGAAAACAATGTGTGAAGCCCATTTCTGGTGTCCCCCGCCGTGATATTGCGGGAATATTGCTAAAAGAGGCGTAAAACCAAACTCACTCACTCATTTAAGGAAATAATCCAATGTTATTTTAGTAAAATCCAACCACTGTTTTCAAGTTTCGAGGAGAAATTGCTATTGCGCATATGCATAAATGTAAACATTTCAGTGCTGATCACTTCGTAAACGAGCACAAGCCTAATTATTTGTGATAGCGCCCATGGTCCCATGGTAAAGTGTTGGCCAATTAGATTACTCATTAGCCTAACTTAGCATCAAGCTGGCAACGCGAGTTCGATCCTCCACTCAGTGCTAATTGAAATCCGAAAAAGTGTGCCCAGTAAAGTGCAATACTCCCAAGAGCGTCAAATTAGTGACATTGTTATGATTCTCGCACTCACAAAAGGGTCGTCTGCTATTCCCCCAGTGTGCTCAAGAGTTATCTACCCTTTAAACATGTTTATAGTTTCGTATTCCTCTGTACTGCTAATGTATATTCAGTTCTTTAACCATGCATAACACTCTTACCATATTATTTATATCAGTTTGATATCCACATTATCTTGTACAATGTGCAAATAAAAGTGAACGGTATACGAAATTTTCATTAACCAACAGCGAGGGCAATATGGCGTCTGAGCTGTCAGTTGCTCGTGTCGAGCCTTGAGTGCATATTTTTCTTGCTTTCTCTGCTTCTTTCAATACGTTGCTTATTCTAACACAAACATCTTGCAGCTGCTACCCTTACAAATGATAATATTCACATATGTAATCCTATATCACGACTGAAAGGTAGCATATTAACGCTGAAATCATAATTAGTATTCCAAACCTAGTGGCTTATTTAGAAGTGGAAGTGAGATGAATCGCAAGTTTGCTAGCGCTTCTTTTCTTAACGGACTATCGTTCTGCGTGCATAATAATATTTTCTCAAAGCAGAAAGCATGTGCCATTTCAATGAACGCAGCAATGATATCATTCGAAAAGGATAACCATGCATATTTGACTAAAACGACCAGCATTAGCAATGGCGAGCCTCATTTCGGAATCCAAAATGGCGAGCATACTTCCTATACATTTCTGGTTGTAATGGAGGTATTCTCTCACCTGATAACTTCTTGTTCTTTCTCCTCCTCTTCTCTCTGTCTTTTGAGGACATCTTCAATGATTTTCCGCTCATCTTCGCTCAGATGACTCAAGTCCGGCATGGGGGGGAGAGATGGACGCCTGGATGACATATTGCTTTGTCGGTTAGATCGATAATCGCAAAGCTGACACAGTCGTTCGTTCTAACTCGCACAGAGCTGTTCTGTTGGCTGGTTACTTCCTTAAAATCATTGTACTTTCCTGTTATTCTGCCACCGAGCTAACATTAATCCATCGCCAGGCTATTCCCACATTGAATCTTGAGATGGTTAAGGAGACACATACGCGCTTCCGACGGAACATTGCGTCCCCATTCTACACTCTCAGCCTGCCGGGAGAGAGCACACACATTATCTATGCGTTGTGCATAATATAAACGCTAAATTGCAGCCAATCAAACAATTCCGTTTTGTGACGTCAACTCAATCGTGCTTTAAGCGGTTGTGTGTACGGGCCCATATTACAGCACAATTGGTGCCTTATTGATTTGGCTAAAACCATTGTCGTTACTGTTCCATTGGTGCACGTGGGCTAGGGGTAATTGTGTTACGTGTGGAAGCCTCATGGGGTGTGCCTCAACAGAGTGTCGCGCACCTGTCCAAAATTCGGCACAAGCATCTGCAAGCAAGTAACATTCAGCTATCTTTGAAAAGGCTTCTGGCCCACCGAAGTGAGCCCGCAATTGTTATAAATAATTTAGCTTTGCATATATGTGATGGAATTATTTATTGTTAGCTTACGGTCGAAAGCTGTATTATAGTTTCATGCTGAAACAAGAAGCGGAGTTTTCAGTGCAGTGATGCATATGGCGAAGAGAAGATTAATAGACGCTGCTGGGTGGTATCGATACGAACGGATGACTTGAGATTGGCGCAAACCTATTGAGCAACATTACCAGAGCTTTTGGTGAATATGTATCTGTTGACATTTATCAGATCTGTCGTAATTATTATAACAATGTCGACTTACTCGTGGAATCATTACTGTTTGAACAAACCTGAAGACTAGAATACGTTTTGTGTGATTCTATTTGAAATTGGCTTGATGCCTCAGCTCTGACAGTTCATTTGATGGCCTGGCGCTTAGCTTCGTGCAGTGCTCTCATTAACTGCGCTCACGTAATTTGGCCATTTCTTTGACATTACCTCAAACAAATAAACGTTCTATGGAAGAGTCAACGTTGTTTGAAGTGTTCGATGTTGAATTAACTTTAACTGAGAGATAATTAAACCAGCTTATGTTAAGCACGTAACGTGCTGCGAATGGCATAGTGTAAAGAGATATGGTTTTACGAATATTAGATCAAGGTGCAGAATTTCTGTAAAGGCAAGTATGTGACTCGTATTACTGTGCATAACTACATATCATACGTGGAATCAAACCCCTACTTCATCACATGTTTTTTTGGTTTTGTTGTTGTTTAACTCCGCACTAAGCAATATTCCAGCTATATGTCGGCGGTCTGTAAATAATCGAGTCTGGACCAGACAATCCAGTGATTGACATCATGAGCACCGATCTACGCAATTGTGATGCGATGACATGCATCAACCAAGTCAGCGAGCCTGACCGCCCGATCCCGTTAGTCGCCTCTTACGACAAGCATGGGTTGCAGAAGACCTATTCTATCCCGGATCTTTACGGGTCGATCCATGAAGGTAATAGACTGAAATATATATAATCATAGAACGATAGAAACATAAAGAGAAGTATGTATGTTAAGAAGACATGTTTCCTATGTGTACCATTTAATGACAAAACTAACACTCAGGTAAGTGTTACCGAAGTGTCTTTATTGTTAACACGATATGCTGCACGTGATTTCCAAACTTGACACGCTAAACCTGCACAAGACAAATGGTGCATCTCGAGTCATGTGATGCGTTCATGAACTTCGGTTCACACAACATATGAGTATGTATTGATTATGAGTATTTCTCCGTATTTTAACACGTATGGTATTCGCGTTTCATTTGTAGGTGAGTATTTATAATAATACATTTTCAAAGTTCAACTATTCCTGATATATTTATTCGCACGGCAGCGTGGCGGGCCATGCACCTTGTGACGGGGGAATGTGACAAGGTTTTGTTTGTTTTGCTTGTTGTTTAACAACAATATATTCCAACTATATGACGGCGGTCCGTGAATAATCGAGTCAGGACCAGATAATCCAGTGACTGACATCATGAGCATCCATCTATACGCAATTGGGATACGATTACATGCATCAAACAAGTCAGCGAGCCTGACCACCCGATCCCGTTAGTCCCCTTTTACGACAACCATAAGTTGCTCTGATCTTCACGGTTTTATACCTGTGTAACACAGCAAGGGACCTTGTGACGTAGGTTTTGTGCAGTGCTCTCATTAACTGCGCTCACGTAATTTGGCCTTGCAAACCAATTATCGAAGACATGAGCAAGGATCCTTCCCTCCGAGTGTGACCACCCGATCCTCTTTAGTCGACCACAAGCATACATGTTCCCGAGGCAAGAGCGTTAACTCCTAATAGGAGGGACATAAAGAAGGGACATAACTCGTAATAGTCACTGGTGGCGCTACGATCGAGCCTGGAAATTCCAGCCTAGTTCGGCAAAGGTGGAAACTGGACTTTTATAGTCAGTTAACTCCCTTGCCTCGGGAAGATGTACACATAAGTTACTGGGGCTAATTTTACCCCGGAATCCGCACAGGTTTCAAACTAACGCTGATATTAACAAGACTCTCAACAAACACTGGACATTATTTTCAACTTGGAGCTCAGATCAAATTGAACTGTTTTGAATTTTGAATCGCGTGGAATAAGAACATTAAATATGGCCTTCCTACAAGTTAGCAAAACCGATTGAAGACAACTACACTTGTGATACAAGAGATATATCTACCATAATACTGCCAATTTGAAACGTTATGTGTGTGAATCATTTTTTTATCTGTGAACCCTTCAACACATTTCGTCCATGGTTTGCTAATGTTCAAACAGTATGTACGCCCTTTTTTTAGTGTTGACTGATTATTTAACTAACAAACAATAACATACCGTATTACCCATAAGGTGTGAAAGATCAAGTGTAATGAATTTCCAAAGTTTAAGCATGTGCAGTTTGGCGATTGTCAAAGCTGATGTCCAGGCAAAACAAAATCTTTTGGATGCGTTGTGAGAACAAGCCCATACAATGTCATCACGTCTTTTAATCAATATGCAAAATTGACTTGTGATTTAATTATATTTTATCCTTCCTTCTTTTTCTGGATGGTGGGCGGCTATTTCCTACATTTTTGGATATATCCAACTCCAAGTACGGATTATCTGTCCCAGAAAATGATTGGCGTAAAAACTGCACCAATGACGTTATACCTCGTAGCTTCCTGGCTATTTTGTAATTCGACACTTGGTTAGCCATTTTAGGTCTTCCCACTTGCGACAACTCCAATTATATATACTACTCAAAACAAGTTAAAGAACACCCGCAATTGGAAGGATGTGTGTTGCAATACTAGCCAGGAATGATATATTGACTATAGTGTATCCGGTGTTCTCTTTCTTCTTTTGAGTAGTATACATAAAAATCCCGGTAACAATACTTAATTGATCAAGGGGATCATTTCACCGAGGGTAACAAATATATGAAGACTGCCATCCATTGGTGAGTTACCAGCCCCACACCACAATAGATACTATCGGTACTAAATATAAGAGATAATATAAATATTGAAATTTATGATACAATATAGTTACAGAGTAAACCACAAGAACTTGAATGTCATGATCTTTGTGTGTATTGCGTTTTAAATTAATAATAATGTCGGCATTTGAGTGAGTGAGTGTTTTGGTTTACGCCGCTTTTAGCAATATTCCAGCAATATCACGGCGGGGGACACCAGAAATGGGCTTCACACATTGTACCCATGTGGGGAATCGAACCCGGGTCTTCGGTGTGACGAGCGAACGCATTAACCATTTGGCTACCCGACCGCCCCTGTCTATATTTGATTGTAAAAATCTTTGCATAAATTCTACAATGTATATTACCTGTTGGCACCAATACCCTGAACAGGAACTATTAAAATAACTGTTTAAACGGAATAAGTGTTGAGTTTGCAGTCGGTTGTCAATCCATGCACCTTTCAACCCAACCCAACACCAAACAAGCAGACTGAGGATGGAAATATTTCCGGTGCTGATAAAAAAAACCGGTTATTGGTCTGCATGTCCAGAAGTCATTGACAATGTAAAACATCAATCTATTATTTCGTTTCTTTGTTTGTTGTGTAATGTCACACTCAACAATATTCCAGCTATATATATATATATATGTATGTGTGTGTGTGTGTGTGTGTGTGTGTGTGTGTGTGTGTGTGTATGTATGTATGTGTATATAACGGCTGGCCTGTTAAGACGTGTCTGACCTAGACCTATAGATACTGTGAGCAACAAAGCCGTGGGTGTAAGATGACACAGTCACCGAGCCTGCTTGAAAGATTGTAATTGTATGTCTATCTTCACATAGTGTAACGAACCAGAGATGTCTATCTTATGCATTGTGTAACGAACCAGAGAAACTTATTCAGTAAAAAAGCGCCAATATCCTTTTAATAATCAATAAAATTCATGGTAAAAGCAGTATGATTTCGACTATTTCACACATTCCCTACAGCCTTTGGAATTAAATTTGACTTTGGCGATATGTGAATTAATATACATTATATAGACATGTACACATAATCGTCCCGAATAAGCAAGGTTTCCGAAATACCGGGGTCCGGACGAACTAGCCGTCACAGTTCGCGGAATAACCCCTCATGCGAAATCAGTTTCATTGAAATATAGGCACGCAAATCTTTAGTATCAGTATTCTGGCAAGTTTTCATGTTTTAATGTATTGTGTTTTTTGCAAATTGTGCGTGCGTGCATGCTTGTAAGTGTGAATGTATACATCGATCCTGTAAATAGACGATCCGGTTTTTTTCAACAAGTCTGTTCTTGCTCATTTCGGACATATGACACATTACACGAGTAAGTCAGTGCGTGCGTGCGTGCGTGCGTGCGTGCGTGCGTGAGTGATTGAGTGGGCGTGAGTGAATGAGTGAGTTGGGTTGAACAGTATTCCAGTTGTATGACGGCGTGTCAGCTTAATGGGGGAGAAAACCCGAAGTGATGTAGGTCTTTTTATGATGCAGACATTTACCACTTTCTGGAGAGCCCAAGGGACGCAACTCTGTACAGCCTAAGACGACTTGACCAGCCTGCCCCCACTACAAGAATCCTACAAAAGATAATGTTACCCTTTTTAATATAAACTTAATACTTCGTCGCTGCATCAATGTTGATTTATGTATTTTTTGGACAAAAAGATTAAATTAGAGATAAAGTTAACATTGGGACATGTTGATGGCAGGTCGCGTCTGCAGAGCCCACGTCTAGACATCGGTGAAACCACAACACGTTTCAATATATCAGACAT